CTCAACCGGTGTGCGCGGCCAACGGCCCCACAGCTAGGGCAAAGAGGCAACATGAGTACTCCCCCCTCTCGCCAATGCTCGCGCAGAGCCTGCCTTTGGTGCTGGAGTCCGACATGGCGGACATGTTAATGAGGTACGACTCAGCGGCGGCGAGCACCATGGTCAACAGAGACGAAGACCGAAGAGTCACGCCAGGTGAATTGTTGTTGCTTGGTGAAGCAACGGTCGCGGTGGCGGTGCGAGGTTGGCACCGCGTGAACAACGATTTGCTCGAGATCAGCAAGCGGCAGGTTTTCATTTTGGCTTATTACATTGCGTTTTTTGTTCCTACACTGTAGCGTCCCGTTATGGTTCCAAAGGAGGGGGGTTCATTCCGTATGGATGGACAACGCTTGCAGTTTTCGCAAACTCCTGTGTGCTACAAATGGCGTGAACAGGGGTATTTATGAAATGGAAAGCAAAGCATGTCCACCCTCTGCACCGCACGATTCGCAGCCCTTTTTTCGCGTGTTGTGTGTTCCTTTGCCTCGCGTTTCGTGTCAATGTTGTTGTTGTTGTTGTTATTGGTGGTGGTGGTGGTGGTGGTGGTGGTGGTGGTGGTGGGGGAATTCATCACGCCGTCCTTCGCGGACCCTCTAACTCGAGGGAACGATTCTCGAACGCCAAAATTATTGTGTGCGCACATATACTGCTGTGAAGACACCAACATTGTTGTTGTTTGTTGTTGCTGCTGCTGTTGTTGTTGCATGGTGCTACATAATCTTGGTGCTTGCCCGTCTCTCGGTCGTGTCGCGCCGGCGCAGAGGAGGCGACGAGGGTGTGGCTCAACGAGGTCGGTCTTGAGCTGCCCGGGAAGTTCACGACCGACTCCGCGAGGATGAAGAAGATTAGAAAGCTCACGGACGTGGGCCGCTTCCTCAACCGACTGCTGGGTGAGGCTAGGGAAGGGGTTCACAGCCAGATTATGTGTTGTGCTGTGTTGGGCGGCTTTTGTTGCAGGCAGCAGTGCCTGCTTGAGTGAGAGAAGAGAAGAGGTTCACGGCTAGACTACTAATACGTATTGTTGTGTTGCTGGCTTGTGTTGCATACAGCAGTGTTTGCTGGGTGAGAGAGAAGACAAGAGGAGACGAGAGGTTCACAGCAAGCCTATATTGTTGTGTTGTGTTGTTGGCTGTTGCTGCATGCAGCAGCGCCTGCCTGGTGAAAGAAGAGAAGGGACACACAGTCAGGTACTGCAGGTTTTGTGGTTTTCTGGACTGCCGGCAATGGGTACATAGGTTCGACCCTGGCCTTTCGGTTGCGTATTTGTTTTTTTTCCGACCAAGGCCGGTGTTTGTGTGTTGCTGTTGCAAAGACGGGTGAGGCAGCTCACGGATGTCGTTAAACGTTCCCCCGATAACCACTTTTTCTTTTTTTATGACCTCCTTTTTTATCTGCGGCCGCGTTTGCGCCTGCCGCCGCCGCCACGTGTCAACGTGTCTGGCAATTACCAATCATCATATGTAGCCTCGATCTCGTGCCAGTTATTGTCGCCAGCTTAAGCTTCGTTTTGTGAGCCATATTTTTATTTGTGTTTTTCGTCACGACGGTGCGGTGATCGTTCATCACGCGCCACACACGCACCGTACTTTTCTGTCTTTGGTCTTGGTCTTGCCGCACCGCCGACCACTGGTGTCGACGCTCGTTCCTGCGGCATGTGGCAGGGCTCGAGCTCGCGAGACAGACGTACCTCTTCCAGCTCTTCTCGGACACGCTGGACTCGCTCGTGATGAAGTCGAGGTCGGA